CAGAGATTTAATTTGAATAAACGAATTGAAAATTGTATAGTCTTCGAGGTTACTTCGAAAACAAGTGTAAGAATGCAGGGCTACGTTCATATGAAGCATTCGTTTTAATTTTACATTTATACCCTTTTACGCGAGTGAGGGAGCGTGAGAATTATTAGCCGTGCGATTATAAATCCACGCGCGCAAATCAACCGCTCAAGTGAAGAAGTATCGTTATGGAGGTTTTAACTAACTGTTATGGGCCTGAGCCCAGTTTAAAGAAAGTATTTTTTTGCTCTTTGAGGCATTTCATCGAACACTTTGTGCTCAATTCGTGAAGAAAGGTTCCTAGTTAGTCAGCACAATCCGAAATTCGCGAAAACCCCCCAAGGGAAAGTGAGATGGAGAAGAAGAAAGTAATGGAAATCGAAGGTTACCCAATCGAAGGATTGTCGATTGGAGGACACGAGACGTGTATCATATTCCCATCTCTGAATCTAGCTTTCGACATTGGTCGTTGTCCACATCGCGCAATCTCTCAGGACTTCCTCTTTATCTCTCACTCCCACATGGATCATATCGTAAGGAATTTTCCGATTATGTTTTGCAAAAATCGTTTCTTTGACTTTTTTTTCTCCAATTCGAGAATAAAGCTCTGATTTTTCGTGAGCCTATGCTCTGTTATCGGTTTTTGGTGTCACTTTCTCAAATTTGTAAACTAAAAAGTGTTGGTATTGTTTTGCTAAGGGTGGATTACCAATGTATGTTGCGACTAGAGGCTTGTACAAAATGAAGCCTCCAACGATTATAGTCCCCAAATCCATTAAAGAATGTGTTGAGAGTTTGTTCGAGGTTCATAGAAAACTAGATTCTTCAGAGCTAAACCACAATCTTGTTGGCTTGGACATAGGTAATCTTGTAGCTCAAGATTTGGGGTTTCTTTGTGGGTTTAGTTTTTGATCTTGGGTACTTCCTTTTGTGTAGGGGAGGAGTTTCTTGTAAGGAGAGATCTCAAAGTGAAAGCCTTTAAGACTTATCATGTTATACAAAGCCAGGTTTCTTTAACTTAACTCATCTGGAGAGCTTTTCGATATCTTCCTACTCGTTGAATTCACGCTTTTGTGGAATATTGCAGGGTTATGTAGTTTATTCAACTAAACAAAAACTCAAGCAGGAGTATATTGGCCTTTCTGGGAATGAAATAAAGAACTTGAAAGCTTCAGGTGTTGAGGTTTGTCTCTGATTCCCCTCCTGAATTGCTTGTCAATTTTTTCTCAGGTAGGTCTGTCACAATGTCAGTACTCTTTTGTAGTGGTCTTTCCTAAATATATAAGCATGTTTAGTTAGTAAAGATTTTGGATGGCAGATCACAAACAGCATAACAACTCCTGAAGTCGCTTTTACGGGAGATACAACGTCGGATTTTGTAGTTGACGAAAATAATGCAGATGCTCTCAAGGCAAAGGTTCTCGTCATGGAGGTGAATATTTTGCTGCTTATAAGTATGAATTAGGACAATGTGTGTGATTCGTAATAATATCCTTTTCCTTTTCCCTGGTCGTAATAATATTCGTAATAATATCGTAGTAATAATGAAAGGGAAACTGTATTGTCTCTATTTTCTCTTTTTTAGAGCACGTTTCTTGATGATTCGGTATCTATAGCACACGCGAGAGATTATGGACATATCCATTTATCTGAGGTGAGGCTCCTTGTTTCTTTAAAAACCGTGTTCGTCTCTATCTCTTGCTGCTCATAAAAGTTTCTTTCATTGCATCTGTAGATAGTTAAACATGCTCAAAAGTTTGAAAACAAAGCAATCTTGCTGATTCATTTTTCGGCTCGGTATACAGTGAAGGTGTGTTTTCTTTATCCAATCTGGTTATAGAAGAATACAATTACTTTCTTCGGTCTAGTTGTAAGTGATCTTTGCAAGTTTCACAGGAAATCGAAGGTGCGGTTTCTGCATTGCCTCCACCTTTAGAGGGACGTGTGTTTGCTCTAACACAAGGATTCTAGACAGTAAACACTTTTGTAGGTTTTACACACTCTGTTTTTGTTGTGCCAAATTTTCTTTTATTGCACATGTAAACATTGTATTCGTGTTGTTGGGTTTTTTAAGATTTCTTTCCCGAGTTAAACATGATGATTTTAGTTTTACTGTTGAATTGCTTAACATTTTAAATACTAGTTTTAATTTTGCATGACATTTGCCCCCCAAAAAAAAAAAAATTGCATGACATCAAAAACAAAAATATTTTATTAGTTAATACTTTTTACCTTCATCAATTGGTTTATACTTTTAAGATAAATTATTTTGAAAACTAAGTTTATAGCTTGGAAGAAAGCTCAAATTGTGTTGTCTAGAATTCTAGCAAAAACAGTTTTCTCTAATGTCAAATAGATTAGCAGACTCGGTCGTGAAGTTCAACAAGCAAGAGCTTTAGATAAATGCTTATATTAATAATTTAAGACATTACTACTGAAAAATCGGTTATAGTATAATAGTTGAGCATGTCTACTCTCCTTCTGGGTCCAATTTCGATTCACAATCTTAGAATTTTATGATATTTAAAAAAAAAAATGAATATGTTTTGCTTTGAATAAACACTTCGGGCGGTTCCTAAATGGATGCTTCTTAAAAAATCTCATGTATGAGATAATTTTGGTTTCAGCCGGACATAAAAAAATTATGGTAGAAATTAAATGCCAAAAGAAGAAACCTATAAATGGATGCTTCTTGCATTTTTTGTTCTGATAGTCTCTGAATAAAACTTCTCTTCAGCAATTTGGCTATACTTTGCTGCAAAAGTTTAGGCTGAATCCGCTTTTGGGATTGTCTTCAGTGTTGGCATAGATTCTACAGAGTCACCATCAACGGAACACTCCGGTTATATTCATCCTGCAATATTCTGTCTACCATGTTTGGAAGGAACGAAACTCCAGGATCTTCATCAGTGTCTCCTCTACACCCCAAGCCATCCGCCTTTCCATTGATTACACAGTGAGGAGCCGTCTATTGTCCTTCTCGACACCACATCTCTCATCACCTTTTTTTCTTTATTTCATTTTTTTTATCGCTTGTAATTGTTATAAGTCGACTGTCTATCTTATTATGATATTGGATTTTTAGAATACTTTGTAATCGTTGGGGAAAGTTGTAAAATCTTAACATTAATACCAAAAACAAACAAAAAATCTAATCACCCTCCTTGCATTCGGAATACGAAGTCCTGGTTTAGATGATGTGAAATATCTTTTGTTATGTTTCAAATATCTTGATTTTGAGAACGAGACGTCTTGTTATGAGTTAGTGAAATTATTCAGTTTGTTCTCTACAAATAGATATTATTACCTCTAATCGTAACGTCCGTATGATTCAATGTTTCCGAGAAAAAAATTGTCAGATTTGGTCGATCAGCAAGTTGGTTTGTGCCGCGTAAGGCGAGATAATTAATTGCATGCTAATCTCTTGTTTTGTTCTGATCACCAATAATAACTTGACATGTGTACTATCATCGATAATGACTTGTTAAGACTTGAGACGTTTAGTATATTTTAAATGGGAGTGTGAATACTTGAATTTTAGGTTTTAGTCATAGACTAATGTTATAGCTTTTGCCCTTGATTTATCGTTTTCTGTTTTTTTTTCTAGATGACTTAGTTTCTACTTGTTTTTTCATCTAGACATCTAATCTAATTTATTAAATTGTTTTTTTCGGCCAGAAGTTTGAGATTTTTAACCATGTGATTCAACATTATCGCTCCACTTGTTAATTATTTTTGTATCCATTTACAAAATATTATATTGTATGATATATCATATGGGGCAATTACAAAAATGTCATTTTTTGTATTCACATTTGCAAAAATGGTGTCCATTTATAAAAATGTCTCTGATTATAGATTTATAAAACCTATATTTTAAAATTCTAAACCCTAAAAAATGTTTTGACACCTAAAACTCC